TTGCCATAGTCCTTTTATATTACAGTCGTAGTAAGAGACTATAGGGGATATATTTACCCTATTTCGTAGATGACTCAGGACTGGTAATTAAATTTTCCCACAATGTTATAAGTATACCCTACATTTCCATTGAATTTAATAGCCTTGCTTCACAAAAGATATTCTTATCCAGGCTAAAGGAAACTACATTTTCGACATCGCTTAGGCCTCATCAACGCCTCCAGTATTACTCGAACCCGCTGCGCTACCATAATCCGGGTTCGAGTCCCGATGGGGTTGCTGAGGCGAGTTAGAAACTCCCTTTCAATCTCGATGAGAAGCTAGGCTATGTGAAATTCAGTGGAAGCCTAAGGCCTACTCTCATTATTATTTGAAAATTCAACCACCAGTCCTTCATTACCTTAACGAAATAGCGTAAATATATCTCTTGTATATGGTCTAATGGTAGTCTTGAAAACCTACTTATCAAAGCTAAATCTCTAGGATTATCTTCCTCTTTTAAATTGCATACCAAGATATCATTCTCTACCATATCTTTTCTTGTGGTCCTATACATTTTATTATTCCTTCTTCTTGTTCCTCACTTTAGGCCTTTGATGTAAACGGCGATGGTTGGATTTCACACAAGGAATTTCGTGTAGCTCTGGAACAACAGAAAACATATTCTGAGTGAGTGGGACAATTGCCCAATTCGATGTTTTTTCTCTCGCTTCTTATCCAAACCGTAGCCAATCTAAATTTTCTTAAGGAACACTGTTTCTGTTGAGATCAAGAGCTTTGGGTTTGGGCCCTGATAGTGTTTTTTTATGATCGAGCTGGACAGCAGGATATGATGTTTAAAAGAATCATCTGATCTTTTGCATACATTTGGCGGATAAATTCACGCATTCACTAGCACTCCTATTTATGTCGCCATAGCATTTTTTATCAATTATTATATATTTACAACAAAGATTAACTTATTTCGTTTGTTTTTAAGCATCAGAAAGATTAATTTTAAGGTAGTAAAGTGTTTTAAGCCAACTGCTGCAGGCGCAGTACTATGACTTCACTTACACACTCTGCCTTATTCCTCGTTCTTGAGTTATTTGTCGGATTGTACAACTTATTAACCCTGGTGCAAGGCTACCTTACACAAAATCATCGATAAGGCATTGAATTCTGAATATGATTTTCTGGTATTCCCATGGCTTGCATTGGTTTTGGGGGCATGAAACTTTCCGGCTTAAGGATGAAATGATTTTGGCCTTCTTTTCGTCGTTTATATCTCTCAAGCATATTGACTTTATGCACAATAAACGCATTTTTCACCGTATTCTTCGCTTTCGACTTTTAATTTCAGCCTTCTAACATAAAGTTCTTGCACTCTAATCCTCTCTAATTTATCCTCTTTATATATCTTTTTCACTTTTTGACTTAATGTAGGAATGAAATTAATTATATTATGCAGTGCGTGGACGCAAATGCAGATGGCCGCATCGACTTCTATGAATTCACTGAGCGCTTTTACAATCCGGCCAAGGATATCGGTTTCAACGTCGCCCTTCTCCTCACCAACCTCTCAGAACATATTCCTTTCGACCCCCGGTAAGCCGTTCTCCCTTACTTGAGGTTCTTGTCTCCAAGCCAACATCAGCTAAACTTAGATTGAGCCCATTCAACTAGTTGCGGCTATCGGCGGCGCGACTGTTGGGAGAATATACCACTTGTCCTTTGCCAAGTCGTCTAGCCTTGCTATTTGGCGGCGCGATTAAACTTAGATAAACCATCTCAACCATTTTCTCATGTCTAGCCTTGCATCGATGTTTAATCACACATTTGCTCAACCTCGCCCCATTCCGAATGCTTTTGCACTTATGCTGAATGTTTCTATGAGACCTATGCCTATAATGCATATATCGAACGTTGGAGATGAGGAATCTTGCATGCCAACCCTTTCGTTTGACAAACCAGGCCCTAGCAATTCTTTAGATGTTACTTAATAGTTCTAGTACAGAGAGGATATTTTAGCTAAATCTCCTTTCCTTTGCCAATTACCATGAAAATGCCCGACCCGATTTCCTACTATTTCTGGGTTTTAACAAAGGTTATGATAAGTTAATGTTTTTCGTTATTAAGTAGATTCTCGAGACTACCAGTAAACCACCCTATTTTGTTTAAGGTGATAAGAGACTGTTAGTTGAATCTTCCCACAATGGTATGAGTAAAGCTGACGTTTCTATTGAATTTAACATAGCCTTTCTTTCCCAACAGTTTTTCTCATCCAGGCTGAACTGCAGTTAAGACCTCGCCTCGGTCTTATCAACACCCCAGCGGGAGTTGAACCATGACAATGGAGCATATGAGTTTGAAACGTTAACCACTCGGCCACACTGTCACGAGTGCCCTTAGGTCGCAGGGCAGATGCGAATTTCAAGGAAGGCCAGGTTCTTTCCATGTCACCTTCTTTGGCGGGGATTGTGGAGGAAGCAAACGTATTTTTCCTATTACATTCCCTCATCACCTTAAGCGAAATATGATGACCACATCTTATACTAGTTACATTCGCCTATTGCCCAAATATTTGAGATAAAATGGCTCTTCCTATTCAGTTTATCGGCTATTTACACTCCCCATCAATTAGCAACATTCTAACACATTTATCCAATACCTTGTTTACAACCGAAATAAAATACAAGCCTTTAGAACGAACTTTAGAACGAACTCCACGAACTTATTCAATGCTTCTTCTTCTCCGCCATATCACAAGTTTTATGCCTGTTTAAATGTTTTCACACTGTATCCAAGTTGATTGTTTACTTTGTCGGTTCCGTTGCCCCTTGATCTTTAGCTAAGGCCGCCCAGTTTTTGTCTGCCGACTGCAACTCCTGTTTAACCCTGCAGGACAATGGTTCTGATTGGCCTATACTATACCGGTCTCTATGCTAAAATAGGCAGAGAGAACGAAAGGCTTGACTAAATTTACCGTAAAATGGCTCAACGGCTACTGCAAGGTCGACTAAGTCCAGTCTTGGAAATTTCTATATGATTTGTTTCCAAGACTATCAGTCATTCCGGAATAAATGCTTAGTTAACTTCAGTCGGTTTTGATGCTTTACGAACTGTCAGTTGAGTAACGACGAAATATAAACTACA